GACCTTAAGACATTTGTGACAATAGTACTTTGTACCTTCTATATAGTACTTGGACTTCGTGTACGGCGAGATAAATGTGAAGAGGTCGTTAGAGTTGAATATGATATCGTGAACTATTGAGAGGGAGAGAGAGAGGTATATAGAAAGAGGCAGGAAACAAACAAAGGAGACATATTCGGTATGATGTGTGTTTTGTACGACGGCATGATTTTGCAGACATGTGTTATATGTCTGTTATGTATTGCTATGCCAATTGGGGTGAATGAACAACAAAGACAACTATGGAATGTGTCAATTGTTGTGTACTTTTTTTTTTTGTTAAGCAGACAAAAGACATTCGTGATCATGTTTAAAGTGTCTCATTGTGGACTGAATGTCATAGGTACAATGAAAAGTGTGTGGCGGATGTCTATTTTGCCAAGGAAAGTATTGATAATTATGATATTTGCATCAGTTAAGAGGTTTTCACGACAAAAAAAAAATAAAATCATATTTAGACGCCGATTCCTCATGTCATATAACGACAAATACATATTGTGGAACACACACATACGCAGAGAGAGAGAGAGAGAGAGAGAGAGAGAAAGAGCGAGCGAGAGAGAGAGAGAGAGAGAGAGAGAGAGAGAGAGAAGCAAGGACAAGTGTCGCGACGGATCTACATTGATTGTCTCGTTGAGAGTTCCAACTATTTTTAAACGATATTTTTTTTTTCAGTACGATATCTCAATGTTGCTCAGACATTGCAATGAGTTAGGCAACAAACTCTCAAACGTTCGCGCATATCGGGGATAGATTATAACCACAAATGACTTAACTCATCATCAAACGTTGGAACAACGTTGGAAAATGTTTGTCATATTGATTTGGAAACCTGCAACGAAGTCGTGAACGTTTCTTGTATTGAAGTAAGGTTGAACACATTTGTGTTTATCGGTCAAGGTTAAAAATCGGTGCATGTTTAAGAACTGTTGTTACTCAATATAGTAAACTCATTTTTAACACAAGGGTGTATAAAAACATAACTGTTAAGACCGGGATTTTTCTTGTTGACCGCATCCTGCCAAAGGCTGTTGTCGTTATCATCATCTATGTTGCCCGATGCTGAGCCGATTCGTTCTCTGCCGTCCTTGCGACAGTTCAAACATGTCGCAGCCTCCCACTCCTCTATGTCCACATCGTCGGGTACAACATCAGTATCATCAATCACCTTCGGTGGATCCTCCAACTGATCAGCCCACATATTGATGTATTGACTCTCGGGCCTTCTGCTGACACTGAGAAGCTGCATATTCCAGTGAATGAACACCAGCTTCGTGATGAAAGTCTGTTACGCCTCTTCGTGTGAATGAAATCGTGCGTCGCCCACTTACTCTCGCACAGAGTGGTCGTGGACCACATGCCAAGCACGCTCTACGCAATCGTCTGCAACTTCGTGTGACCACCGCTGTGCAGGTGCCACCACAAGGTTGGGTGCATGGTCAAGTTAGCAGCATCTCCAGTGGCGAGGTCGTCCCACCAATGCGGTCCTTGCGCTGGCCAGTACCTAGGATCATCACAATGGAAAGTCCACATCCTGCCACAAATCCTGCATGTGCTGAGTGTGCCAACCTACACCCATACTACGAGCGAAGTGGTCAAGGGCGCTTTGCACGACCGCGGTCGTGCGATCCCTCAACAAAGACACACTGCGGCGGCGAGGGTCCAAGAGATAAGCAGCAGCATGTGCAGGTTGTCGCATCATAGCACACCTGTCTGCAATCGTGACCAATACCTACCTCCTCTGGTCCTCCTCGAGCTCCAATGCATCGATCTTCCTCTCCAAGATAGACTGCAAATCCCACAGTCCGGGAGGTGACGACCCGTCCAAATCCATGGCTCTCAGAAATGTGTAGCAGGGCTCCATGACATTCATGACACTCTTCACTTAATCCCACCACCACCGCGATTTGCACAGCCTCCTCACCAACGGCTCGTCCTTACGCGCATCTCCAATCCATCGCTGATTCTTCCACACATCTGACGACACAACCTCGTCCAACACCTCCCTTTGCGCCCACAGTCTCTCCAACATCATGTATACCGTCCCGAATCGTGTGTCAGCCGGTCGTGTGAGATCCAAAGCGTGTGCCATCTTCTGATGAAGTGATAGGACTCTTTGTTTGTTCCTCAAAAATTTCACAAGCTTGTGCACCCTCTTCATCACCGGTGATGCCCAATCTTATGCGGCAATGTCTCTTAGTAGCAGGCTGAGGCAATGTGCAGCGCAAGGGACCAAAGGGATGCGTGCGATGGCAGGGTCTATGTGAGACTGCAGAGCGGTTGATGCGGCCTTCATCATCTCTGCGTTGTCAGTGCAGATTGCATTAACATGCTCCACCCCAATGTCTCTGATGACCCCCTCCCATATATCCGCCAGGCTGACAGCGGTCTTGTCTCGATCAGACATATCAATCGTGCCGATGAGTACTGGTCCGGACTGCCCTGCGGCAATGAAGTTCATGATGGGCTTGTACCTCTGATCCGTCGCTCCATCGGTCATCAATGTGCAGCCAGTCTCCGTCCGCTTAGCCTTCTTAGGGGCAATAACTATTGCGACCTCGTGGTAGATGATGTCCATCATCCTCGTCCGCACCCCCTCATAAGTAAGGAGTCGTGGCACAGGCACTATACTGGGCCGTAGGAGTGTCACAATGTAGTTCCAGTAGTCATGTGTCTACTTTAGGCGCAGCCAATTGAAGGAAACACCATCTCGATACATCACGAGGGCCAACAGGCGATCAAGATCTCGCTGCACTTGATTCCCCATCCAAGGATCCAAGGTGCTCTGTCGCGCCCTACAAGGCAGCACAGATGATGTACTTGGTGGTCGAAAAGTCCGTGTGCCGCCCGCCTCAACCCCCGCCCCGTCCATGGCCGCACTGCTCGCAAACGATGACGCACATCATCTTTTACATCTCTCTCACGAGGCACAACCTTCCCGCGTTCTGCGCCCGCAACAGGTGCCTCATCCCCTCCCACTACGACATGTGATTGTCCCTCGCCAGGCCCGAGCACAAGAATGCTCTCACCTCGAACGAGATCATCCATAGCCAACTCCCCCTCCAACCGCTCAGCGTGGTCTGCAACTAATCTCTGTGACATAGGGCCCTTTAGTTGTGCCCCGGCACGCTGCAAATGCCATAATATCTACCCAGTCCGTCGTGGGCAGTGTGACTTCACCTTAGTGAAGTGTTCAATTGCCCTAGATCTCAAACCGGGGAATACCTCATCACAGAGTCGGCATCGCATGAAGAAGTTGCCCCCTCCCTCAATATCGTGGTCTTGACCCTTAGCAACCCACTGCCACACTGCATGGGAACGCTTCAACTCCTCCTGCTTCCAATCAGAGAGAGGCTCGAACGGGGGAAACGTTGATGCTCCGCGTCGTCTGTTCGATGATGACATTGTGATGGACACAATGGGTTCACAGCACTGGAATCGATAGAAAGCGCAGCACAATACCCTCAATGACGAACAAGATGGTGGTTTTCCTGCAGCCAATTAAACCCTCGCAAGCATGCAACACGTACAAGCTGCAGCAATCAAGGACAGATCATTCTATGTTAGGCGTGTAGCAGCTCCAACACTGGCAAMAAAAAAWAAGGCCAAACCCSCCAAAAAAAAAAAAAAAAAAAAAAARRACGAAGAAGACGACGACGAAGGGTAARATRAARACTTCCRAAGAGAGGGGGGAGACACATGGTGGATGTATTGCTGCAGTAAMRCSKRCGWMMGCKKCKGCKRSAGATGCAAACATCCTCTCCCTCTCTCTCTCTCTCTCTCTCTCTCTCTCTCTCTCTCTCTCTCTCTCTCTCTCTCTATATATATATATATATATATATATATACGTTCATATTTATCCTTGTCTATGTCTATCTCTATCTATGTATCTCTCCATCTCGATCTCGATCTGTCTACCTATGTATGCATCTATCTAGCTGTCTATGTATATCTATATATCTATCTATCTATCGATCTATCTATCTACTTATCTATCTATCTATCTATCTATCTATCTATCTATCTATCTATCTATACATGTCTCTATCTCTATCAGTGTATCTGTCACTTTCTGAGATGTGTACCTCTATGTCTATCTCTACCTGTCTATGTCCATGTATGTCTCCCCGTCTCTATCTCGATCTGCCGCAAATGACTGTTGGTATTTATCTATCAATCTATCTATCCGTTTTGTTGATCTATTAATCTTGTATAGAGACTTAGACTGTCAATCTATCCATGCTATCTATCTATCTATCCATCTATCTATCTATCTATCCATCTATTTATCTATCGATGTATCTATCTATCTATCTAATAATCTATCTATCTATCTATCTATCTATCTATCTATCTATCTATCTATCTATCTATCTGTCGATGTATCTACCTATCCATCAATGTATCTATATATCTATCTGCCTACGTATCTATCTATCTACATATCTATGTATCTACGTATCTCTCTTTGTGGAGGTGGAGGACGAAGGAGAAGGACGAGGAGGCAGAGAAGGAGGAAGACGAAGTAGCGGACGAGGAGGAAAACGGCTATGAAGAAGGGTGGTGGAGGACGATGGCAAGATGGGATGTTGACACATGGCGAAACTGTCTGCAATCTCCAACCCCCCCCCCACCCCTCTTTTTTTTTGCTTGTCAATCACTTGATCGCCAATCAATCAATCAATCAAGCAAGCAAGCAATCCAACCCACCAATCAATCAATCAATCAATCAATCAATCAGTCAAATCAATCCTCCTCCCCTCCTCCTCCTCCTCGTCCTCCTCCTCCTCGTCCTCCTCCTCCGTCTCTTCGTCCTCCTCCTATTCGTTGAGCTTACCCTCCTCCTCTTCCTCCTCCTCCTCCTCCTCGTCCTCTTTATCCTCCTCAAACTCCTCCTCCTCCTGCTCCTCCTCCTCCTCGCTGTTCCCCTCCGACTATTCCTTATCCTTGGCCACCGCTACGGCCACGAGCTCCAACTCCGCCGCGACACCACCTAACACCTTCTCGCCTCAGTGTCCTAGCCCCCCCCGTCGATCCTCTTCTTCATTTTTTTTTCCTGTCCAATGAATAAATGAATCAATCAATCAATCAATCGATCAATCAATTAATCAATCAATCGATTGCAACTGCAATCGATTGGGTCTGCAATCGATTGATCGATTGATTGACTGCAATCGATTGATCGATTGATTGACTGACCGATTGACTAATTGCAACCAGGTTCACCTAACGTGGAAACGAG